GCTGCAGATTCTCATTGCTTTGATGGATCTGGATATTTACATGGCACTAATATTCATCTGCAGAGTTGCAACTTGGTCACAGTGCCATCCTTGCCCTAGAGGTAGGATCGTTGCAGGCAACTTTTCATCCAACATGGCAGCAGCCATCTCTGGCCTGGGAAGATTAGTGAAAGCATCCTTGACGATTGATGCAATCTCAGTAAATCTCAGGGCATTGCGTCCCTCCCCTGGAATTTGGTTGCATCATCATATCATCGAGGGGTCGCAAGTCAGATTAGCCTTATGTACACGAGGAACGAGTGAATGACTGTAAAGTGTTCAAGGCAGCATGTGTGCTTAACACCTGCCAATTTCTGATAATCAAACATTGCATATTGAATTGTTTCATATTTGAATTGTTTCTTCTGTAACAGTCAGTCATGCTGCCTTGATATCTTCTTGTGATTATAATAATATAATAATATTATTAATATTATTGATTACGAAAAGTAAAATATTATCAATGAAAATCTTGTAATTACCCAGCAAGATCTGCTCCGCGTTTTGATTCCAATTAAAATATTTATTATAACCAATAAAGACAACAAATATATATATCAATACAAATAAAAAATAGTACCTCTGGTTAGTTATTAACACATTTTCTTTAGGAGACCCAAACCAAGCCAAACCAAACAACAACAATTCGCGTCTGTCGTACCAAAAAAAAAACCAATAGGATAAATAATTAGCGTGTACACATCGATCAAATAACTTTTTTTAAAGATGTCTTCTAAAAAAGATACAAAAAAAAGAAACAGACAAGAAAACAAAGGGGAGGCACTTGGCGGGTAAGTGTTTTTAAGGATGACGGTGGTTATCGCCCGCCACCTGTCGTCGTTACTCTAGTTTTAATTAAAAGAATGGTGGTGATTGTGATGCATTGCAGCCCATTGTTACTCTGCTAAGACTAAATTAAACTATGTATTTATTTACATTCTTAGACAATTAATTGCTTATGACGAACCCATTAATGGAAAGAGAGCCAGAGAAGACAAAGAAAATGTTTCAATGATAACAAAAAGCAACAAAAGACCAGTATTGACTAATAGAAATTATTTAGGAAAGGTTGATTCAAATCAAACAAATGAAAACAAACATTTATATGAGTATTGTAATTATATAAAAGCAAAAAAGCAAAAATCTTCATTATTTGGTTTTTTAGTTTACTCTGCATATTTATCTCAGATTAGCTTTAAAGAAGACGAGGAACATACTTTAAGTACAGCTTATATGGAAAAATTGGTCAACAATTTTATTTATTTTATTTATTTAATTTAAAATATGATTTTGGATTTCCCTTAATCCAAGTACTGAAATATAGTCATTGATGTTTTTATATTTTTTAGGGAAATGAAAAAGAAAATGAACATGTTCAAGTGAGAATTTTTTGGAATTTATTTAGGGATGCTATGATTGACCATAAATACACTACATTTATTTTATATCTTGATAAATTCATTCAAGAATGGGGATGGGATGAATTGAAAGAAGAAGTAATGTTTGATAAAAAATTGATCAAAGCTTTTAGTTCAATATCTTCGGTAACTGTTTAATTGTTATAGAACTGTTGATTGTATTTTATTAACTTAATAGTAACCATCAATTGAAATTTTAGTTGCAATATAATGCTGATCTTCCTGATGTAGTTAGGATCATATCAAAAACAATAAAATTAGATTTGTTAGTTAAAAATGATGTTTTGTTGTCAGGAATCATTGACACTTCTTCATTACATCTAGATATTGTAACAGAATTGAAACTAGCTAATAAATGGGAAGAAGTGAATGAAAAACCAATCAATGAAGCATTACCTAATGGAATTTTAGAGTTTATTTATGAATATATACAAAGGGAGGAAAAACATCAAATTCCAGTTGAATTTATGAGTCAATCAACTTTGAGTTGTTCAATGCATCTAGACATCTAGTATCTTGTCTCCTACAAATTCGAAGGAAAAGAATGTATTTAAGATCTGACAAAGTTTTAGAGTCAACATATGACCATGATATTATGGATCCCATTGAAAAATTTCTTCTTTGGGACTTATGTGAGCTCTCACATCAATGGTAAATAGTCTAAAGTCTTTAAATTTAATATGATTATTCCACCTTTGTGAATCAATAGTTCTTAGCAGTGTAAAAATTCAATTGGGGGTTGTGTTATATTTTAGAAATTGTCCAATTGAATTTATAAATATTTTGTATTATTTCACACAAAGAATTTTTATCGATTATTCATTAATTCAAAATTTGAAAATTCTTTTTTTAGGGACAGTAACATAAGTAAAGCAACCAAAGAAAGAAATGGCACCATTGTTGGACCTAACAAAAAGCCAGATATTCATGTTTTCTATAATGGAAAGTTATTAGATTGGGAAATATTGTTTGGAGAAGTATCATACGGTCTTGGAAAATCTGGTATTGCAAAATTAACTCATATAAATGAAGATCACCAAAAACTGATGAAATATTGTAAAGATTCATGGGATAAAATGTATCGATGTGCTTTTAAATTGGCAGGAAACCTTACTGATTATATGGAGATTGAGAATATAGCCATTCATTCATATAGTAAGTGCAAATTTTTGTTTTAGCCGATTTTCCTTTATAACTTATATATTTTTTATTTTTCTAGATTCAATAATAGAATTTTATATCATTGATCAAAAGTATCTTCCATTGCATCGATCTCGATTAATTAATCGTTTAAAAATTCCATACAATGATTTAGACAATGAAACTTTTTATAAGTCCATAGTTGATGTGATGAAAACTTTATTTTATATAAAAAACATTATGAAGAAAAATCTTGAAACAATTAAAAAAATAGAAAAGTTGTCTTTTAAACTTAGTTCAGATTTAGGAAAGACTGTTAACATATTAAAAACATATGACAGTGATTAGGTTTTTTCTGCTTATAAAAATATCATAATAATTAATTAAAGCTTGATAAGTCAAACATTTGAATGTTGTTATTGTTATTTATAATTTAATCCCTAAAATCTATATGTTCACTTTGTCTGGTTTTGTTGCAGCATGCCCCATATAATATACTTAGGTTACCTTTTTTTTTTTGAAATGGATGAACAAACTTTTAATAATCAAGAAATTAATGACTACTACCACCAAGAAAATTTTAATAGGATGAATCTTGATTATTTTACTAGTCAAGTTTTTGGTGATGCACAATCGGAAATAACAGACTCCAGTATCTCTGTTACCTCATCAATGTCATCATCAACATCAAATCCTTTATGGCAACATTTCAATAGGAATCCATCTGATGCACGAGGCTATAATGTTTGTAAAAATTGTTCAATTAAGTATAAATTAACAACAGGTACTACAACACTTCGTAAACATCTCAAAGACCAACATCAAATAGACATACCTGTTAGGAGTGTTAAAAAACAAAGAACAATTACTGAAATCGAACCTTTTGATGAACAAAAACAAATGGAACATACTAAATATCTTGTTCAGTGGTTAATTTGTGATCTTCAGCCTTTTACCACTGTTGACAACACTTATTTTAGAGCATTTGTTAGTCACTTCTGTCCTCGTTATACTATGCCTGAGCGACACCAAGTAAAGGATCTTATAATTGGTGGATTCAATAGTCGAAGAACAAAAATTGCTAATGAGCTTCATCAAATTGAGGGTCAATATTCATTGACGGCTGACATGTGGACTTCCATGAATAGAGATGCCTTTTTAGGAATAACAATACATTATATAGATTCAAATTGGAAACTCAGCAACTTTCTCCTCGATATCATCCCTTTTACCACTAGACATACTGGTGAAAATATTGCTGGAGAAATTAAACGTGTTTTAGATGAACTTAACATTTCTGGTAAAATCATTGCACTAACAACAGATAATGAATCTGCAATGATTGTGTGTGGAAGAAGACTTGCCGAATCCCTTGATAGTCAACTTTCTTCAATGACATTCTCACATTATCGTTGTGCAGCACATGTTCTAAACTTGAGTGCAAAGCAAGGATTAGAGCTAGTTAATAATTCAATTAATAAAGTACGTGAATTAATGGGAAAAATTAAAACTTCAACTCTCCTCAGTGATCAACTTCACAGTTTTTGTAATTTAAAAGAGATCTATAACTATAAACCTGTTTTGGATGTGGAGACCCATTGGAACTCTACATACTATATGTTAAAACGTTTGGAGCAACTTGAACCAGCACTGGTTTTACTTGCTGCAGATAATAACAACATCAAAAATCTTTATCCTAATGAAAATGATTGGATTATAATTAGGGTAAATATTAGTATTAATAATTTTTTTTTAAAAAAAAAAAAACTTCACAAAAACAGGCAACATTAATAATTAATACCTGATATCTTCATCATATTTATAGGATACTATGTTACTTCTTGAACCCTTAGAAGAAGCTACAAAGCACCTTTCAGCATCATCATATCCAACGATGGGTGATGTTCGTTTAGTCTTTGAAGGTATCCAGGTGTATTTAAATGATCAAATAAGAGTGGAAGGTTTCACACAGGATGAAATGGCTTCTTCAATACTTGAAAAAATTGATAAGTATTGGCAAATTATGGATCGTTCTTCAATCATTTCAGCAATCTTAGATCCTCGAACTAAGCTCACGAATTTTTCAGGAGAAAACCATCAAATGGCTTGTAGATTCAATAATAGAATTTTATATCATTGATCAAAAGTATCTTCCATTGCATCGATCTCGATTAATTAATCGTTTAAAAATTCCATACAATGATTTAGACAATGAAACTTTTTATAAGTCCATAGTTGATGTGATGAAAACTTTATTTTATATAAAAAACATTATGAAGAAAAATCTTGAAACAATTAAAAAAATAGAAAAGTTGTCTTTTAAACTTAGTTCAGATTTAGGAAAGACTGTTAACATATTAAAAACATATGACAGTGATTAGGTTTTTTCTGCTTATAAAAATATCATAATAATTAATTAAAGCTTGATAAGTCAAACATTTGAATGTTGTTATTGTTATTTATAATTTAATCCCTAAAATCTATATGTTCACTTTGTCTGGTTTTGTTGCAGCATGCCCCATATAATATACTTAGGTTACCTTTTTTTTTTTGAAATGGATGAACAAACTTTTAATAATCAAGAAATTAATGACTACTACCACCAAGAAAATTTTAATAGGATGAATCTTGATTATTTTACTAGTCAAGTTTTTGGTGATGCACAATCGGAAATAACAGACTCCAGTATCTTTGTTACCTCATCAATGCCATCATCAACATCAAATCCTTTATGGCAACATTTCAATAGGAATCCATCTGATGCACGAGGCTATAATGTTTGTAAAAATTGTTCAATTAAGTATAAATTAACAACAGGTACTACAACACTTTGTAAACATCTCAAAGACCAACATCAAATAGACATACCTGTTAGGAGTGTTAAACAATTACTGAAATCAAACCTTTTGATGAACAAAAACAAATGGAACATACTAAATATCTTGTTCAGTGGTTAATTTGTGATCTTCAGCCTTTTACCACTGTTGACAACGCTTATTTTAGAGCATTTGTTAGCCACTTCTGTCCTTGTTATACTATGCCTGAGCGACACCAAGTAAAGGATCTTATAATTGGTGGATTCAATAGTCGAAGAACAAAAATTGCTAATGAGCTTCATCAAATTGAGGGTCAATATTCATTGACAGCTGACATGTGGACTTCCATGAATAGAGATGCCTTTTTAGGAATAACAATACATTATATAGATTCAAATTGGAAACTCAGCAACTTTCTCCTCGATATCATCCCTTTTACCACTAGACATACTGGTGAAAATATTGCTGGCGAAATTAAATGTGTTTTAGATGAACTTAACATTTCTGGTAAAATCATTGCACTAACAACAGATAATGAATCTGCAATGATTGTGTGTGGAAGAAGACTTGCCGAATCCCTTGATAGTCAACTTTCTTCAATGACATTCTCACATTATCGTTGTGCAGCACATGTTCTAAACTTGAGTGCAAAGCAAGGATTAGAGCTAGTTAATAATTCAATTAATAAAGTATGTGAATTAATGAGAAAAATTAAAACTTCAATGATCAACTTCACAGTTTTTGTAATTTAAAAGAGATCTATAACTATAAACCTGTTTTGGATGTGGAGACCCGTTGGAACTCTACATACTATATGTTAAAACGTTTGGAGCAACTTGAACCAGCACTGGTTTTACTTGCTGCAGATAATAACAACATCAAAAATCTTTATCCTAATGAAAATGATTGGATTATAATTAGGGTAAATATTAGTATTAATAATTTTTTTTTTAAAAAAAAAAAACTTCACAAAAACAGGCAACATTAATAATTAATACCTGATATCTTCTTCATATTTATAGGATACTATGTTACTTCTTGAACCCTTAGAAGAAGCTACAAAGCACCTTTCAGCATCATCATATCCAACGATGGGTGATGTTCGTTTAGTCTTTGAAGGTATCCAGGTGTATTTAAATGATCAAATAAGAGTGGAAGGTTTCACGCAGGATGAAATGGCTTCTTCAATACTTGAAAAAATTGATAAGTATTGGCAAATTATGGATCGTTCTTCAATCATTTCAGCAATCTTAGATCCTCGAACTAAGCTCACGAATTTTTCAGGAGAAAACCATCAAATGGCTTGTGGACACATTTGAACAAAATTTGAAACATACCAGAGGCACTCTCCTAACACACAATCTCCTGGAAGAAGACTATCATCATCCACCACCACAAATACAACTCATCAATTTTTCACTCAACTTCGACGTAATCAAACTACACCACAGATTGCTCCAACACATTCAGTATCAGAGTTAGATCTCTATCTGGCATTACCAATAGATGATGAAACAGAGCCTCTATTATGGTGGCAGGCACATGAAAAAGAATATCCAGTTTTAAGTAATATAGCATGAGATTATCTCACCATTCAAGCAACTAGTGTTCCGTCAGAAGAGGCATTCTCAATTGTTGGAAATACTATAAGTAAAACTCGAAATCTTTTGTTGCCAGAGACTGCAAGAGCATGCTTATGTTTGAAGAGCTGGATTATTAATAAAATAGGAAATTAGGATACAAAATATATTTCATTTCTTTTTTCAATAATAGTAATAATAATAATAATAATAAACAATAAACAATAAATAATAACTAATAATAATAAATAAAATAATGCGTTTATTTAATGGCTTAAGTGCACATGGGTATTTTCTTGCTTGAATCCTCCAGTCTCTAACACTAATACTACATTTAATCGACTACAAATAGAATATAATATTAATATTTCATAATTATTTGTATTCTATATAATATTTTTTAATTAAATATTTGTGTCACTTTTTTTATCATTGTGTAACTGATTCAAACCGCTCAAACTGCTCAAACCGCTTTCACAAACCAAACTGAACCAAACTGCTTTCAAACCGCTTTTAGTAAAACTCCCCCATCCCTATTACTTGTACCATAGATTTTTTATATTTTGTGTAATATTTCCCTTTTTTTTCTTATTTTTTGTAGCATAACGGATATTTGAATTTGTCACATGTGACAAAATTGATTGGTGATCTTTTTTATATTGTGTGACCATTCAAATTCAATTATTTAAACATGGTTGTAAATAGCATAGTGGACATTCGTTTTATCACATGTGACAAAATCGATCATTGATCTTTTTTATGTTGTGAAACATATGACTTCAATTGAATTTAGAATG